CACAGCGTGAGGAGAAAACGCGAAAACGGCCCTTGCACGTCCCGGGAGGGCCCCGAGACGGCTCACGAGAGTTGCTGTCTTCCTCCCTCCTCTTGCCTCCCTTCTCTGCCTCTCCTCGTCCCTCCCGCACGTGTGTTCCGCCATCTGGTGTGGCAGCGCGTGCATGCCGTGCCAAGGTGGTTTTCTCTCCGTGCCCTGCTGTAAGAATTGTGTGGGTCGGATCAAACGTGCGGCTGTTCAGTAGCGCAATGTAGGTTGCATTTGGCGACATGCGATGCAGCTGCTATGCGGGCTGCTCGTCACCCAAAGTCGGGTCAGCCTTGAAGTCTTCACTAACTTTAGTACCTTATCATTTTGCGCTCCCAAGCTGAGCCGAGTGGAGAACGACATCTAATGCGACCGCTCGCTGTCCTTACTTAATCGCTTCGCTCATTCCGCCGGCCCGTACTGTGCCATCGCAGGCGTTTGCCTGCGCATTCGTGGCCTCTTGGGGCCTTTGCGGGGCCGTTTGGAGGCTCTTGGGGCCTCTTTTTGGGCCTCTTGGCGGCCTCGTGGACCCTCCAGGGAGCCTCCTGGGCGGAAGGCTCGAGTTGGTGGTTCGTGTTTCCCTTCTTGGGCCCCTCTTGGGCCTGTCTTGGGTCGTCTTGGGCGCCTCTTGGGCGCTCTTGGGCTCTCTTGGGCCCATCTTGGGGGCGTTTTGGACCGTCTGGGGACGATGTTGGAGGTTTGTGGGGCAGTTCTGGACGCTGTAAACCCCCAAACGTCGCAATGCGAAAAATGTACGTTTTCCAAAGGGGATGGGACGATTTTTGCTTGTTGGGGCCCTCTTGGGGAGCCTCTTAAGGTTCTCTTGAGTCTTTTTCGCGGCCTCTGGGGCCATCTGGAGACCATCTTGAGCGTCTTGGAACGATCTTTCGGCGACTCGGGGCCTCTTGACATGAATCATCGGTCGGATTATAAGGTTAAGTCGGGCGCGTCTCTCTACAGGAGGAACATGCAGACATAGTTTGGTTTTAAGTATGGGGACGATGTTTTATTGTTGTCGGCTATGTTTGGATATCTGTCTTCCAAAATCCGCCTGTAGGCGGGCATGCCCGACTTTATCATAATGGCACACATCGTTTCAAACAAGCTGCCCTCGCACAGCTGTCGCGCTTGATTCCTCATTATCCCCACTCTTGTCTGTCTCGCGTACTCCAGTTACTCAACTCGTGATGCGAACGGCATGCGAGCAAACTGCAGCGCAATATCCGCAACGAGTGGATGGCTGCAGAAAATCATCCAGCAGAAGGGCCCAACCACAACCACACGAAGCTGCGGGCACCGCGAGGCAGGTGGGAAGAGGCAGGGGGCAAGGAGTGCGGGGCGTGCCGACATGGGGCGGGTGCGCTGGGCGGCCTCTGCCCTTGGGGCCATGGATGCCGCTCCCTGTGGGGCCACGCAGCGTGTGAGGCATGCGCCGACTCGGGTGCGGGCACGCCAGGCGGGCCTCGCCGCTGGGGGCCTCGGAGCTCCCTCTTCGCGGCCACGAAGCGTGTGAGGGGTGTGCCGAATCGGGTGCGGGCACAGCATGCGGAACTTGCGGCTGGGGCCTTGTCGGTTTGGGGCAATTCTTGGGGGCATCGCACCGCCTCGCGCGGGATGGCTCGGCACGATCGACATGGGCGTGGAGAGAATGGGGGCGAAGACTGACAGCAGTTCTTTTTCGTGTTGGACAGACCTCGCTGTCGTTACCGCCGCGGGCGTTGTCCACTTGAGTCAGACGGCCGCCTGCCCAACAGCGGCCGCTGTCGGTTTGGGGCAATTTTTGGGGGCATCGCACCCTCTTGTTCCGTACCCGCGTCGGGTGCCCAGAATGGCCGGCGAGTCGGCTTGGCACCGAAGGGGCCCAGGCACCGCTCCATGATTTCTCTCCACCCCCCCCGATGATTTTCAGGACATGTGTCAGCCGAGTGCGCGTGCGTGTGTGTCTGTACTCCGTTCGGCCCTCATCGCAGCGGTTGCGTCGTCTTCAAGGGTTTTTGTGGACAGTCGCACGCTGGCGCTAACGCGCATTCCGAGGATCGTGGAACCTCATCCTGTCTCTTCTGTCTCTCTCTGTCTCTCCGTGGACGAGCTTAGAAGGCTCGATCCCCGCCCCGTGCACGATCAATAATCTGTCTTGTCCGACGATTCGGACTGCTACTTCGGCCAGCTTCCGCGGTCGTCGGTAGCCAAATTATTTCAAAGACTGTGGAGTTCTAGGCTCCGCACGGCTCACGGGAGGGCACCGCGCGGGGGCGCGCCGACGTTTCAAGATGCCAGGCGGGCGATGAGCGGCAGCTGCTGCTACGCTGCCGGGCGACCGCCTCGCGCGGGATGGCTCGGCACGATCGACATGGGCGTGGAGAGAATGGGGGCGAAGACTGACAGCAGTTCTTTTTCGTGTTGGACAGACCTCGCTGTCGTTACCGCCGCGGGCGTTGTCCACTTGAGTCAGACGGCCGCCTGCCCAACAGCGGCCGCTGTCGGTTTGGGACAATTTTTGGGGGCATCGCACCCACTTGTTCCGTACCCGCGTCGGGTGCCCAGAATACACCTTAGGCGATGCTTAAGAAAACCTAAGTTTTCGGCCAGAGTCTCGATTATTCTTAATTTTTCCATGTAAATCCTAAGATTTGAATGGACATTTTGGGTTTTTACTCAAGTTCTGAGACTATGAATTTCTTAACCCATGATTTCTTACGCATTTCGCAGGGTGTACTCCGTTTGGCCCTCATCGCAGCGGTTGCGTCGTCTTCAAGGGTTTTTGTGGACAGTCGCACGCTGGCGCTAACGCGCATTCCGAGGATCGTGGAACCTCATCCTGTCTCTTCTGTCTCTCTCTCTCTCTCTGTCTCTCTGTCTTTCTCTTCCTGGAGTTCTGCCACGCGCGAGGGACAGGAGCCTGGCCGAGTGGACGAGCTTAGAAGGCTCGATCTCCGCCCCGTGCACGATCAATCTGTCTTGTCCGACGATTCGGACTGCTACTTCGGCCAGCCTCTGCGGCTGCTGGTAGCCAAATTATTGAATCGCTTCGCTCATTCCGCCGGCGCATTTCGCATGACTGAGCCTCTTGGGGCCGCTGGGGGGCCTCTTCAGCGTCGCTTGGGGGCCTCCTGAGGGCCTCTTGGGGGCTTTTAGGGCCTCTCAGGGGCCTCCTGGGGGCTTCTTAAGGCCGAGGGCTCGAAGTTTTGTTTTGTGTTCCCCCTTTGGGGCATCGCTTGGGGCCCTCTTGGTCCCCTCTTGGGCCATCTTGGATGCCTCTGGGGCCATCTTGGAGCCCTCTTGGGCCATCTTGGGGCCTTCTTGGGAGCTTCTTGGGCCCTCTTGGGGCGATCTTGGGGGCCTCTTGGGCCGTCTTGGGGCGTCGGGAAGCCGAAAAGATGGACACGCCAAAATCTGCCCAAAACCTAAGGAAAAGTAATGAATTTTGCCTCTTGGGGCCCTCTGGGGAGTGCTCTTGGAGGCCTCTTGGGGCGTCTGGGGGCCATCTTGGGCGTCTTGGAACGATCGTGTGGCATCTCGGAGCACTCTTGAACCATCTTGGAGGGCTCTTGGCGGCCTCGTGGTCCTTCTTGGGGCTCTCTGGAGGGCCACGGGGGCGGCGCCCAGGAGGAAAACCATCTCTGACCCGAGTCTGCCGGGGATCGCCCGGGGTACTTTCGTCCGGGGACCCCCAGGGGCCGCCCCGCGCGCGCGAAGTAGAAGTATTATTTAGCAGTTACCGGAGATCTTAGCACGCCTCTGGCCCGTTGGGCCGGCGAATTTAATCGCTTCGCTCATTCCGCCGGCCCTGGAGCGCTATTTGGGGCCTCTTGGGGCCGTCTTGGGAGCTTCTTGGGGGCTTTTTGGGAGCGTCTTGGGGCTCCTTGGCGGCGCATTGGGCTCCCCTGGGGCCTCTCGGGGGGCTCTTGGGAGCCCCTTGGGGCGGGAGGGGGGGTCGTCGATTGCAGCCCCCCCCCTCGAAGGCCACGATCCTCGTGAGGGGTGGCGAATAATAGCCTCCCCCCTGGGGATCGCCCGGGGATCAGCCGGGGATCGGCCGGGGCACTTTTCGTCCGGGGCCGCCCAGGGGCCGCCCCGCGCGCGCGAACTAGAAATATTGCTAATTAGCTACAGGAGATCTTAGCGCGCCTCTGGCCCGTTGGGCCGGCGAATTTCCAAGACTGGAGTTCTAGGCTCCGCGCGGCTCACGGGAGGGCACCGCCGACTTTTCAAGATGCCACTCGGGCGACGCGCGGCAGCTGCTGCTACGCTGCCGGGCGACCACTTTTGTCTTTCTGTCCACCAGAGTGCTGACCAGTTCCAGAGCCTAGACGTGGTCGTATAAAATAAACAGACGGCCGCCTGCCGCACCGCTCCATCAGTTCTCTCGACATTGTCCGACAGTGAGGGCGTTGAACTCAAACAAACATCTCTCTGCCTGTCTCTCGGCGACGCCTGCCGGTTTGATAATTACCTAATCCAGGTCTGGCGATGTTGCTCAAGCAGTGGCGAAGCGCCCTGGCCGACCAAACAATGTTCTAAGAACCTTGTGTGGTCTGCGCGAAATGTTGTGAGAACATTTCTGGCCGTGGCTGTCTTGTTTTTACACATCGGGTTTATGTTCTAAGAACATTGCACTTGTTATTGGAACGGCTTCGGGTTCCAAGACAATTTTATGGTAGGCCTATAGAAATGCCGGGACGGTCGGTCCCTGCTCAAGTTGCAGGCTCGGGTGCATGCCTCCAGGCCCCCCGATGCAACTATGCTTGGGGTGGTGTTGCTTTTGTTACGCTTGGCTCTCACATATGGAGTCCGTGTTGATCACGTCGGTCAGGCACCCATGGGATGGTTGATCGGAGGGGGAAGAGGGAGGAGGGAAGTGCGGAGGAAGCGGGGGGCGGGAGGAGGAGGCGGAGGAGGAGGAGGACGAGGACGAGGATGAGGACCAGGCACATTTTATCTCTCTCTGCCTCGCCTGCCGCCGCCGCCCCGAGGAGGGCACGGGCGCAGAGCGCCCCGCCGGACAGGCAGTCTGGGCATCCGTGGATCAAGAACGTGAAGCTCGAGGAGAGGCCTGGTGGCCGGCCTGCGCCGCCGTCGAGCGTGGGAGTCGGGGGGCAAGCAAGCGAGCAAGTCAAAACGCTGGATTCCGGAGCCCAAAGCGGTCCCGAGTTCAGCGTCTTGACTGTATCGCATCGGATCGACACGGCCCCCTGGAGGTAGGAGCGGGGGGCGGGGGGGCCGCAAGCAGCAGGCAGGGGCGGGCCTTGCAGCTCACCGACGAGTGCACGGGAGGAAGTCGGTGAGCGTGGGAGTCGGGGACTCGGGGACTCGGGAGTGTGGGAGTCGGGGAGCAAGATGGCCATGCATCCTGAGGGTCTCGCGGGCTGGTCGGCAAGGGCGCTCGTGGCCCATGACATGCTTTTCGTTGCGACCGACTCCTCGCCAACAGTCCTCAAGATACGAATGGCGCCACAACCTGTTGGTCTGAATGTATCAGGAGGAGGAGAAGGCGGAGGAGGAAGAGGAGGAGGAGGAGGAGGGGGAGGGGGAGGGGAAAGATGAGATGAGACGAGATGAGACGGTTCCCAGGGACGTCCAGGGAGGAAGGGGCCAGCCCGATACAGCATGGGGGGGGTGCACCATCCAGAATCATGTTTGCGACAGGTGCGCTCGGCTTCGCTCGCGAAGGCGGGCCAATCGAGCTTCGTACGGGACAGCGCTGTCCAACGCACAACTGGCACTGCTGGCGACGGTGGTCCTGGACACGACGTTCCGAACCGAGCGGACGTGACCGACGCGGGGGCCGGGGATGGCCCGCTCGATCAACGCACGAACTCGCGGGCTGGGGGCCGGCCCCCGCCGAAACCGAGACGAAAATCACGGCTCCTGTGCGAGTCGGGGGGGGGCACAGGCTCTGGCCAGTTGGATGGCCTGCGCGTGACTCCACCCCCCGCGCTTCACGCACAGCAGGGACCCACGCCTGGCCTCCTCATTCCCAGCATTTGCACTGCACGGCGCGCAGGGGAGCAGGGTGAGAGCCCGACACGGCAACCAGCTGGTGCCCGAGAGGGTCTCCCGTGAGGGGTTTCAGGGACGACGGGGTCCCGAGAGAGCCACTCGTCGGCCGATTGCGGCACGAGGGCGCAGCCCTGAAACAAAAAACACATCGCCTGCCCAGTTCACTCCACCCCCAAGAGTGCCACGCCTCCCCATCGAGAGTTAGTTTTGCGTCTCAGCACCGCAGGCCGACGCCAGCGCTGGGGGCTGTCCTCAAGGAAACATGGGAGGACAGCGCCAGCTAGAGCAACAACATCGGCAACCCGACTCCTCGCGAGATCGAGCAATTCCAAAACTCAGGTGCAGGGGAGGGGTGGGGGCTGGAGGCGAGCTTCGCATGATGATCAGTATTCCTGTTGGCCTCCGCCCAATGGCGCCCTTCGGCATCGAGACCCTCGATCTGCTCCTGCGAACGATGAGCCTTCACCACGTGACGAGCCGAGACGAACTGGTGGCCTTCGAGGCCACGACCGAATTTTAAGATTCCTGCAGCCTGGTTGGGCGCACGCAACTGATTGGACAAAGGCTGCTGGAATCGGCGGATCGCCGCAACGCAATCACTGCCAGCCAGGGTCTCGCGGTCGGCGACCTGACTAATCAAGCAGAGAGCAACGCTTTCGGCGATGCTATCACCATCTGGATTAACAAGTGGTGATCGGCACTATGCGAGGGAACAACCTCGAACTTGGATGTTCGATCGATCCCAAGATGACTCCAAGACAGGCTCGTGACCCGAACGGAGGAACGGCGCCGCGGGGGTGGACTAGACGCGCGGCTGTTCGGACAGCCCAAACGAAATCGCCGCTCTCTGGCGGCGTGAAAAGCGGCCCGAGAGAAAACAAACACAAACGTAAGACAACCCTGTGAGGAATTCTCAGGCGATATCGCCACACTCAAGCGGCATGAAGATCGGTCTGAAAAACTGTTCTGAGGAGCTTCCAAGCGAAATCGCCATTTTCAGATGCCAAGGCAAATTTTCAGATCGGCCTGGGAAGCGGTCAGAAAGTTGTTGCGCGGAAGTCTCGGGCGGAAGCGCATTTTCAGTCGCTGGCCCCACTTGGCCGCTATAATATTCAAAGGGGTGAGAGATGCACTTGCAAACCCCAAGTCGGCCCCCAACATTTCCCCCGGGCCCCGCGGCCTAACGGGAGGCCAACCGCGTCTTCCTCGACCGACCCCCGCGGTCTCCACTTTTTCATCCAGCGGGTTGTAGGAGTCCGAGGGGGGGCCCCAGCCGCAGGCCCGCGCAAGATCGCGACGGTCGCATCTGATGCAGGGGAAAAACCGCAATGCACCAGAACGCACGCTCCAGCTCAACTAAGCCTGGTCGCGGAGCGACGGCAAGTCGCGGCCCCTGGACGAGCGATGAAACGCCTTCGACCTCCTCGTCTAGCGCCCCCCCTTGGGGGCCTTGGAGGACCGCCCGGTCTGCGCGGGAAGGGGGCGGCTCATCGTCTTCATCGTGCACAAACATTCTTCGCGCCAGTATTTGATCATATGACCCAAGGCCCGCCTGCAGAAGCAGCGCGCTGACCTCGGACTCGGCACGAGCGGCAACAACCTCAGGCAGCGCGCCTTTGCCCAGGCGATGCTTGAGAGGCTGTCTCTGGCCACGCGCGCAGAAACCGTGGCAGAGGTGGCCGGCAGCTCGGGCACGGGCCTTGGCCCGGGCTCCGCGGCGAGCGCAGCTCCCGATCAAGAATTTCGCGAGGCCAGAAAACCGATGCGACCGAGCCCTGAGGACGGATCGAACAACGTCGCGCGAGGCCCTGGGGCCTCGTGGAGTTCCCAGCTGCGCGGCTAAAGAAAGCTCGCGTTGCTCATGAATTTCTGCTAACGTGAGGACAACGTGCCGGGGGGCGTGCGACTGGCATCTATGGCGGTGGTCCATCCATGTAGTCGCAGAGAGCGCGCCCCACCCAGCGCGGCGCACAGCAAGTGCAGCGCGAGAGAGAGAGAGAGAGAGAGAGAGAGAGAGAGAGAGAGAGAGAGAGAGAGAGAGAGAGAGAGAGAGCGGCCCGCGACTGGAAGGCCAGCCCCTGGCCTCACAGGGCTCGGCGCCCCGCCAAAGCCGAAGCAGACGCGCGCGCGTGGCCGGCGGGTGGTCACGCGCCGCAGCCTGCCAAAGCATCCTGCACTACTGGATCGCAGGCGCGATGGCTGACGCCCCCGCCCCATCGCCAAGCAGCGCTGTTTCGCTGGCGAGGCTCGCGCCACCATGCGCAGGGAGCTGCCCCCACGCCGCGCCCCGACGGCACTGGAGCCACTCCGCGTTGCTGAGACCGATGACTTCCCTGCCGTGGGCGGCCCCGGCCGTGGCGCCAGCGCGGATGACTGCACCGATGGACTGCTTTGTGGCCAGTGATGACCCTGCCGACGCGCTTGAGCTTCCGCATGCGATTCACCATGTGCGGACGACGCTTTGCCCGCTTGAGGAACGCGCCTTCTCCCTGCGGCGGCTGCCCTCGCTCGCGTCGACCCCGACGTAGATGGCGCTGCGGTGGGCAGCTGAAGCTGGGGGCCCGAGCGCACTCACGATATCCCGCGCGAGAGAGCGGCTGGCACCCGCAATCGCGAGCTTGTTTTTGACAGCCGCATCGAGCTCATCCACGGCGCGCCCGAAGTCAACCATGGCCGCCAACAGCATGGAGGAGGCGGTGCTAGCAGTAGTGGATGTCGCGCGGATGGAGTTGCCATCTGTGTAGCTGACGAACTGGTTGCACGGCTGTTTGACACAAAACTTTCGCGCTCGCGAACAGACCAAATTTTAACCGCAACGTCGCAGAACAAATCGCCAGCAGGGGGGCCACGAGCTGCGCGAAGCGGCCCGTCCGCACGGCGACCGTCAAGACGCAAGACACGCGGTGCACGCCGCATCTTGCACACTAACTTGAGGACGGACATCGGCGTCTGGAAACTGCTGAACTTGCCCCGTTGCCTGTCCACAGGAATCCGCTCGTAGTACTTGCTGAACTCAGCCGCAGCCAGCGCGCCGTGATGAGGCTGCCGTTGGCCTGTCTCACCCTCGGCCGCCTGGGCCCACGCGCAATCGACAGACGAGCGCCCTCGCGCCGCGCCCCAGTAGGGGCGGGCAATCTGCAGCTGCAGCTCGCGGAGCATCGGCCGACATAGGCGCTGCAGCATAGAGCGCCACCTCTCGATTGCCCGCGCCCGACGTCTTGGGAAGCATGGGGGCGACGAGCCGACGTAGCTGCCTCGGCGGGGGGGCGAGTGGCCCCATCGCTGAGAGGAACAAAACAACCACCTCAAGCGCCTGATCACCCAGCAACTGGAAATGTCGGGGATGGAAGTTACCAGGCGCAGCAGTGGTAGTAGAAGAGAACAACTGAGCCACGGCGCGAATATGTCTGGCAGTCGTCCTCTGCAGCGAAGCGCGGCCAGGAAGCCAAGCTGGCACATGACGGGAACTGGACCACAACTTCTCGCGCAATTCAACCCCATGCCGCACTGCGTCGCGCGCGCGAGCAGACGGCGCGCGAGCGGCGCCGACCGCCGCGGGCTGTGCTGCACCGCGAAACCCGGTAGCGGGGGGGAGGACTCGCGCGCCCCTCGAAGCAGCCATCGCGCTCCAGCCCCCCCACTTCTGGTGGCCCTCCTTGGAGGCGCCACTTGGTGCGAGCTCGACGCCGGGCTCGATGTCGCCAACGACTCGCGGCAGGCCTCCTCGCTGCAACCAGCCTGCGCCAGGGCGCGCGCCTGCTGCGCGGGCGGTCGAGCCGCGTCGACAGGCCATGCCCGCGGTGGGCAGCAGTGGAGAACGCGAGGGCCTTTTTTTCTGCATATTGGGCCATGCCCTGACGGGGGGGGGGGCTGGCAGGCCGCTTGAAAGCAATGAGACGCAACGCAGAATTTTGTGACCACTGCCAGCCCTCGGAAACCGCCTGCGAGTCCGACTGATCTTGATAGTGTAGCTGACACCGACCCATCTGGGCCGAAGCGGCCGTGCGAAAGTTGCGGCATTGTAATCCCCATGGCCGACTGTGGCCACGCT